CGGATTGTTTACGATCAGAGCACTTTTGCCTGGTCTTTTTAAATGCCTTGCGATTCTGTGTGGTTGAGTGGGTGCGTGTTTGAAGGGAAGGGAATGGTCTCTCGCCAACTTACAAAGGGGTACGCACTGGGGACAAAAACTTAGTCTAGGAGTTGAAGTTGAAGACAATTTATGTCCAGGATGAAAATATCGCATCCTTCACATCCTGGGCATAAATTGTTTCAACTCCTACCCTCAAAACGACGCTATAGAGCACTGCACACCAAGACAACTAGACACAAGTTTTTCCCGGAAAGCCATCACTCTGCTAAACACATAATTCTCTCACCACTGTCAAACCGTTCACTAAAGCTGCATTACTATTACTATTAGTCTTCTCATTGTTCCTATCACCCATCTCTCCCCCCCCTCCACTTATGACTGCAGGACTGTAACTTTGTGGCTTGTATCTTTAGGATTTATATCGATTGTTTCCTGATTGCTTATTTGTACCCTATGACTTTCATTTAAGTGTTGTACTTTATGATTCTTGATGAATGTATCTTGTCTTTTTATGTACACAGAGAACATATGCACCAAAGACAAATTCCTCGTGTGTCCAATCACTTGGCCAATAAAGAATTCTATTCTATTCAATCTGGGAGGACTTTGGAATAAACACTGTGGTGGTTGGAGAGGCCATTTTGGTAACCTTCAGGTGGATAAAATCTTACCCTCAGGTCCAACTAGGAAAGAAGGTTAAAATATGCTGCTGCTACTGTGCAGAGAAATGCAACAAAGATGATTAGGGGATTGGAGGCTAAAACATATAAAGAACAGTAGCTGGAATTGGGGGTTTAGTTTGATGAAAAGAAGGACTAGGGGTGACATCATGATAGCAGTGTTCCAACATCTATGGGGTTGCCACAAAGAAGAGGGAGACAAGCTGTTCTCCAAAGCACCTGAAGGCAGGACAAGAAGCAATGGGTGGAAACTAATCAAGGAAAGAAGCAACCTAAAAATTAGGAAGAAATTTCCTGACAATTAGAACAATTAATCAGTGGAATAACTTGCTTCCAGAAGTTGTACAGTAAATGCTCCAACACTGGAGTCCCAAAGCTGCTTTTTCAGGAGGGAACTGGACTTTCTTGTCTTTTCTTTTGAAGACGTTTCACTTCTCATCCAAGAAGCTTCTTCAGTTCTGACAGGATAGCGGGGAATGGAAGAATTTATATTCCTTGCAGACAGCTGGTCTTCTGCATCTTTTAGCGGGTCCTTGGAGCACTTGGGAGATTTATCTGTACTCTCAGGTATGATCAGTTTTATTCACATCATT